GGAAAGAGAGAGCAAAAAGGAAAGTGCAAGAGAACTACGGAGTTTGCAGGAGTTGCGTGTGGGCATCTTTCTTAGTGAGAAGTTCATTGTAACTTACTTGAGTATGGCAGGATCCTTGCAACTTCGTTAACTTCATTAATTGAGTGTAATTTTATGTAAAAAGAGAAGTTTAAGCGCTAAATGTGTAAACACAATAGATTTAAATGCTATGAATCTAAATCCTTATTAACTAAACAAATATCTTGTACAGATATGACAATTGGCAAGGGTGGACTTTCAGAGCATAAATGCGTGCATCTGTGTCTGTGTGACTGTGTGTGCTAAAATTAATTATTCAATTTGTGACCCCTTCTTTAAAAAATTTAAAAATTAAATTAATTTTATAGAAAAATAATTCTTAGCTCTGTGCTAGGCTCATGAGGCTTTGGATTTATTCACACATTATATATTGGGAAACATATTAGTGTAATAATACTAAGCAGTCGACCTTAACCAATAAGCTTAAGCTTGGAGTTGAAAATCACTTTGATCACCGGTGTATCTAAAACAATACCGTTCCCCTTTGATTCACTCCATATTGAACGGTATCAAATTTTATGTCTTGATTGTGATTGAATGATTCAAGCTATTTATAGTTTTCATGGGTTTTCGAAGATTTTACCGCGGTTAAGCAAAGTTCAACAAAGGGTAACTCCCAAGTTGCCTTCAAGTGGCCATGTGAGCCATTCATGCATGATACATGATGAGTTTCTAGTTGAGGAAAGATGAGAGGAAAGATGGCCAATGTGCAGTGCTTTTATGAAAAAGAGACACTATTAAAGCATATAAGACTTGGGGTTTACTCTCAATTTGAATAGTTAATATAAGATTATCATGTGTTAACCCTCACTATAGACTTAAGCTTGAGTTGAAAATGACCATGACTACTGATTCATGCAGTTCAACTCCAAACAACCATTAGTTCGCTCCCTAACATAAGTTTAAGGCCCATTTAAATGTTTGTACATGATCGCCTTAGAAAGAAATAATTTCATTTTGAGCGTAAAAGTGAACCACACTTCTTTTGTGGGATTTTAAAGGCGACTTGATATTTGAAAATTACTGCTGATTTCAATCTAAATCCAACCATATAATGGACTCTGAAAATATCATCATATTTCAAACCTAGTTTCTAAACTGAAGCAAACAAATGAAGTCTAAAGCAAATTTAAATATTGTCCTCAAAGAAACCAAATACAGTGAATACCTTCGGTGATCCAAAAAAATTTAACTTCGTAGAAACCGCAACATGAACTCCTACTGCAAAAATGAAGACAGCAAGCTCAAAATTATCGATCAGGAGAAAAAACAGAGACTTCATATCAAACATAAATGAAACCATCACTGCCAAAGTTTCCCCAAACTCAAATGAGCAGAAAGACAAAGCTAAATGCACTAAACTGGTTCGCCCAAAACGATAACCCAATCACCACATCAGATTCACTCTACTTCTACTTCAACCATAAAATCCAGTATAAAAAGCACGCGCCAGAGCTCAATCCATCAACCCATGAACCGCATAAGAACACTCAGCAACTCAACAACCATTATCTCACTATCAATCAACAACACCAACAAAATACACATCAAAGCAACAAGCATTGGAAATAAACCTGGAGCTGGTGGAGCTTGATGTAGTCCCACACCTTCTTGACGGCCTCAGCGCGTGAGATCTCCGGCTGTCCGATGAACTTCCGCATAGCCGCCGACACAGTTCAATACCCCCTTAGTTTCCGCCGCCGACCTCGAACCCGGAGCCGCGGCGTTCGCCTGAGACTTAGCCGCCGCCGTGAGAGGCCCTGCACCTCTGAATACCCTAAGCATGGCTTCCAAGCCCCCGCTGCGAGTTCGTTGAAACCTAGGTTGGAGAAAGGCCGGTCGGGCAGTGAACAAGGGTCCTCAAAATATTGCTATTTATAAATTTAGCATATCCTTCCATCAATTTTTTTAATTCTCAGACAAATTCCAAAATTTATGGAAGCCCTCAAAATCATATCTAAAAACCAAAATGTTAATATCCACTATCAAGGTTTTTGAAAGTGTTGGCGTCAATTTTTAATGACACGTGTGTAGGATGTTCATATGACTAGCTCGGGATGATTTACTGCTCATTCATAGTATTTTATAGCCCAAGCCATCCATCTGAGATCTCTGGTATGAGTTCGGTGTGCGAAACAGGGGTCTGTGATGATCCGTCCTTATCCGGGAGAATCCGTCATTGAGTGGCCTACTCAAAACATTCAGAGCTCATTGAATCAGTCAACGAACACTACCGAAAAATTAGCTTTTGGAACGCTTTACCCAGGTCGTAGTCTGGAGAGCTTGTCGATAATAAATTCTATGATCATTGGACGAGCAAAATACTCTTTTTTGAGGTTAGGTGATCATAGGTTACTCAAACGTTGTTTCTCGTAGCCTTCAGATCAACAAAATCCTCAGTAAGATGCTCCCAACATAAATCAGGATTTTCGCAGCTAGAACGGTGCGTAGGTGCTAGCCCCGGGTGTCTAGGCACCCAAAATGCCTTGTCAATGGCTAAGACCGAGCCCTTGGAAGTCTGGCTTTAGTTTTTTGAGCCTAGTCGCTAGTCTCGTGTGCCTAGGCGCCCAAAACAACTCAAACAGTCCATTTCCCGAGAGATTGGAAAGTGGGCGCCACCTAGGTGACGCCTAGGCACCGACCCATTTTCATATCACAAAAGAGTTAGTCTTTCGAGCCGATTTGACCCCGACACACCTCCTTAGGCAATCATAATTGCAAAGATTACAATGGGCATTGGAGGATTTGCTTGGGGGTAAGGAAAAATGAGCCACCATGCCACTTTTGGTGGTTTTAAGTACCCATCATTAGCCCCTTTTAGGCTGAATAAAGGGACATGCTTGGGATTTTCTCAAGTGAGCTGATTTTAAGCTTCACCCTCTCCTCATTCTTAAGGGATCTCCACTTCATTTTTAGTTGGCTCCTTCATATCCCTCAAGAAGTGGAAAAATTATTTAATACGGACACCGTATGCAGAGATGCATGCGGTGTCCAATCTCCACCGTCGATCAGTGCAAAAATGTATTTCAATGGGCCCCACCCAACTATTTTTTTTAAAAAAAATTTTTTTTTTTTTTTTATTGCGGTGATAAGAAGAGAAAGCCAAGGGAGCCCGTGTCCTCATTTTCTTCCTCTCTTTCACCCTTCTTTCTCTCCTCCGACGAACTCATAATACTTTGACAAACTTTTTCGGGGAGTGCAACTAGGAAAGCTTAATCCTATCTTGGCGGACGTGCAACTTTGGTGAGCTCACGGTCTCTCCTTGGAAGAAGAGCTTCATCCTACGTGGTTGATGGAGAACCTTTGACGAGCTCCGTGGATCATTTGTAATACCTTGAACAAGAGAAGGATATTCATCCACCTTCTGGAGTACAATAACCCTCAAGAGAGCTTTCACTCTATAGACTCACCGGTTTGGCTAGCTAAATACACAAGCATTTATTATATAGATGTTATGTTATGTATCAGGTGTTATAACAAAGACTATAATCAGTATGATCAAAACATGTTACATATTAATGGGTCTATCTTTTGCACAAGCAAGATCTATTTCACATAATAAGCAACGACACCAGTTTATGCATGTTCTTACCATCAACGAGTTATAAAAACTTTTCTTAATTTATAGTCCATAATTTATTCATCTACACCTCTTTAAATTTGTTGACACGCTAATTACATTTGGTTTTTCAATTATTTGGACACTTAATACGATACACATAAACCATTAACAACACAGCTCACCAACGGAACTTGCCTCTAAGAGGGGCTAGCTTCGGGCATGCTCGAATCACTAATACTGCATGGCTCTACGAATGGGTTAGGAGCGTTTTCACCCGAATTAACACGGCGGCATCAGAATCGCTTGGCACAGTCGACCACCAGTAACAAAAATATACGTTGCTTACAGCACGACAGAGCTAGCTCCAAAGTTTTTCTCCAACATCTTTATAAGAAATCAATAATTTGAAGTTTATGCGTTGGATATGTAAATACATAGGAAATGAGTGGTCTGTATGCAAATCTTCCTAATCTTTTTTTATATATTTACTTTAATATAAAGTGTGAAAGTATGAAAGCAGCATATCGTAATTTGCTGCATATAGTAATATGCCAGCAGCCCTTCCAGCAATAGGAACCAGCATATTTTAAGATTCTCGAAACTTCTATTCTTCTATCAAGTGTTCTTAAATTCCTTTCTCGATTCTTTCTAGATCTTTCTAGAAGTTAGCTTGAACCTGAGGTTGAGCTGCAAGGACATATGGCACATTGGAGGCTGAAAATTCTTCTTTAACGTAGAGACAGTAGAATTTTGTAATTTATTATTTGTGGATGGTCAAATCGAAAAGCTTTTGGGACCAGGTACTGATGCAGCAGGAGGTGCTGCATATGCAATGGTCTTATCATAATGCCACGTGACACCTCCCCACGTTGGAGTAATGATGCATCAGTACTCACGAGAGGTAATATTTTTTTGGCAAATGTATGCTTGTTCTGTGGTTATTCACTGGCATTCTAGGATATTATTATTATTAGGGGAATTTATATATATACCACTCAACTCCTATGTATTTACATATCTAGCACCTAAATTTCAATTTTTACGTGCATACCATCTCATCCATGCATGAAAGGATGCATCTTACTTTGCATGAAAGATTTGTGGTATAAATGTTAAAGTTATAGTGTATGTACATTTATATATGTAAATACATAAGAATTGGGTGGCATGTATGTAATAGCCAAAAACTCTTCCATCATGGAAAAACATGCAGACAAAAATAATTGCAAGAACAGAAGCAGAAAAAGACATTATATATTCTCATTATCTTGACTCAGCGCATCTCAAACAATCAATTTTCTCAAAACATTCCCACCTTCTTGCAACTTTATAACATTCTTCTTCCTCATCATGGCAAATCTGCATCCAATCTCAAGATCTGATTTGTCTCGACGAAATATTACTTTGTAATAATATCATCAGAATACTATCATAATACTATCAAATCCGCACCTAACTTGTTCCCACGTAATATTTCTTGGATCGGTCACATCTCTTGGCCGCTACATACACATGAAAGTAGCTGAAATTTATTTATAAAACCAGCACATTCTAATTACATTCCTGTGTATGATTTCCTCTAAAATCTTCTGCTAAATCTCTGCAGAAGTGTTATATATATAATCTCCTAATCTGAAGGCAACAAGAAACTCTCTTTATCCTGTATGCTGCTGCAGCTTTCTATAACAGAGGAGAGGAGATTAATTATCATTAACAGAGTAAATTAAAACACCTGTAAATTTGGCTTCTGTATTATTACATATTTACCAGAGCCAAATTCATGTGTTTTACGCTTAGTATTATTATCATTTTTTTTATCTGAAAAGTGGAGCTCCTGCCCTGTTTCTTCCTATCTGGGTCGTTGCAGTCTATGAAGCGCCCAGTAAGCAATGAAACGATAACCAACAAGCATGAATCCCATGATGAGCACATCCACCCATAAAGCATCTAATCCCACTGATTTAATGGCGGGGAATTCCAGCACAGAACACCTCACCCCATTGGAGCACTCGTAGGTATCATGGGACCTGAACTGGACTCCAACCAGAAGCTTGTAGCAGTAGAAACTGTAGCTGAGGTACTTGAGCCAGAGTATAAATGGGGGAATATGCTGAACATAGTACCCGCCGGCGATGAGAAAAGTTAGAGTTGTGACTGAAGCGAGTGTGGTCGCCTGCTTCACCTCCATGAGAATGGCACCAAAGGCTAAACCGAGGCTCTGGGCTACGAGTACACTGTAGAGGACGATGAGGAGGGAGAGGAGGAAGGTGGAAGGTCTCGGGTCGAGCCCTCCCATCCAGTATATGATGAAGGTGAAGGCTGTCGGAAGGAAGAGCGAGCTCCATTGGGAGATCGCCGGCGGTTCGGGCCATGAAGTACGACGACAGTCTGTACATCCCTGAAGCTCTCTCTTTGAGCAGCATGGGGCGTTCTTGCGGGAAAGTGAAGACGGCGTTGTAGAGGGGGAAGAAGCCCCAGAAAACAGAGAAGAAGAAGATGAGAGCCGTCTGGTTGAAGATAAAAGTTAAAGGTGTTAGCTTTTTCATTTTTGTTAGCGGTTTTGAGAGGAAGAAGAAGAAAGGGGGGAACAGAGTGAGTGGATACTTTGTCTTGTAGATGAGAAGGAGGGGTTTGCCACCAGAGGAGGCCGGCGAGAGTGGCGACGCTGAGGACTTGGAAGATGCGGAGCTTGTTGAAGGCTTCATGGCGGCGTTCCTTGAGGCTGCGGCGGAGGAGGACGATGAACTGTTCGAACCAGGTTGTGGTCCATTGATCTTCTTTGGCAGGTTTTCGGACGCCTGAGAGTGGGTTATGGGTGATGCAGCTGATGGTTTCGGCGTTGAAGAGCTCTGATTTTAGCTTTGAGGCGATGATGTGATCATAGGATGATATGAGCTGATCTCTGACGGCGCCGCGCTCGCCGTCGTCGGAGTTGGATTTGTCGAGCTCGAGCTTGGAGTCCGGCGAGATCCCTGTTTCAGAGAAAGATGACAGCTTTATGTTGTGTTGATGGGGAAGGTGTTTAGAGTTAATTTACTGGATGCGTTAGGCCAGTTTAACTATGGAATTGAGGTCGAGTTAAGCTAATATAATATTTATGAGTCGTTTAATTGTTATATTTATTATGAGGTTAATGCAATAATCTTGAAATTAAAAAAAAAAGTTCTTTAATTTTTTGAATGGTAAGCTATTAATATAATAATTCAAAATTAAAGAATAAAATTTGTAACATAAAATAAGTGTTTAGTAGAGTAGCTTAACCCGATTGAGGCGGGGATGTGGTGACGGTGCAGTGCCGCACAGCAATTTTACTTGTTTGATTAAACAGTGTTTTGACGACTTTTTCAAGATTATTGCATCAACATAGCTTTCTAACTATGATCTGAATTTATCGAAAAAAAATTTTGTAATAATCACCACCGCTTTTTAAACACCAGATTATTTTTAGCAACTTCACAATTACTTTTTAATAAGTTGCAACTGCAACAAACAGACCCTTAATGGAAAATCTTATCCTGATTTATTCATTGCTACACTTAAATTGCTTGTTCAAGAATTTTTTTGACGATATTGTATGATAAATGGTAAGGGTAAAATGCCAAAATAGTTACTAACTATTTACACAAGGGTTTTTTTATTGCTAGAGTTCATGAAAATGTTAAAAAAAATTTCAACTTTTTGAAATTGGGATTGAAATCGTTCACTGTGAGGACTGTTAGAACTCAATTTTAAAATAATCAGAGATTATTTTACACTTCTATGAATTTTGGGACTAAAATGACCATAGGTAAATAATTGAAGATTAGTTTAGCGCTTTACTCTAAACCATAATTTACATGATACTTTTTCAATCCTAGAGTTCATAAAAGTGTTAAAACAATCCTTAGTGTCTTTAAATTAGGGTTTGACAAAGTCGTTACATAGGAATATTACGACTCAATTTTGACACCTTCATTCATAAAATTGATAGAAGCTCCTTGTTCTTTTCGTAAGATGTTGACATTGATTTAAGTAGATTCTATAAATTCAGATTTAATAAATCCTTCAAACATCAAGATTTAAGGTAATTAAGAAAAATTGGATTTTATTAAATTTATTACTTAAAAGTTAATATTTTTTTAATGTGAAAATTTAAGGTAAATCCAATTTAATTTTATTAACAATAAATATGGTTTTCACATAATATTTTGTCCCCCACTTAATTTGGAATAGGATTCTTGTTTTCTAGGAGTTGTCATGTAACAAATACATGAATGAATAAATAAATAAATAAATAAATAA